TACCTATCCATCTTGGATTATGATTCTCTCGCGGAAGCGAGAGAATGTACGCGCTTGGTTTTTCCACGTTCGCGCGCATAATTTTTCATCAATCACGTCGCGAAATGTGATAACTCGTCGAAAACACCCCTAGATTTTCCCTACGTTTTCTCGATCACCGTCGCATCCCAGATTACTATTCAGCTTTATTGTAGAATGAATTTACATCTATTATTTGCTTGCAATTGACAACGTAATCTGAGATAACTGATACAGACGGTATTTTAAGGAGCCTTAATTCGATTTGCAACAATGCGTCTCGTTTTTATTTACTCCGAGAGGCAGAGGGGAACAAAGCGAGGATTAATCTAAAATCGATTTAGATGCTACAGCATATCGGGACACCGATCGCGATGTTTCCGAAGATTGTGAAATTATCGAAAAAAGATTGGAGGACGCTGGGCTATCAGACAATGACACGAGATCATTGTCCTGATCGCGACAAGCTGGCACGCCGGCTGCGCCGTCGATGCCAAAGGCGCTTCCTGCCAAATCGGTCTTCCGCAACCGCGCTCGACATTGTTGAAAAGAAAATCCTTGCGAATAGCTAGTGATATTAATAATGGATTTCTCCGTGCACGAGGATTATTTATTTCTCAACGAGGATTCAACGACCTGTCGTACATTGTTTTTTATCCAATGATCGGAGACTATACCGTGAAACTTTTATTTTATCGATGTCTTTAGCCTTTTTCACAAAGCTAACGTCGATTTTCTATTCTTTTTTGTTGCAGGTAAGTCTTCTAAAATAGAGAATTTTTTGGGCTCTTTTGGGTGCGTGATTTCATCGTTTGGAAAATGTGAGTAATAATTTATCAAATGATAAAGAAAATGCGCTCCGTGTTTTGCTCTTGTAAGTTTGCCAACAAATTTTAATTTTTTCTCAGATCTTTAATCCTCTGGACTCAATTTCCTCTGACAAAATAATGCAGTTTGTGATGTCTTTTTAAATTTTTACTTATTTCAAATTTCTTTTCGTTCTCACGGGCTTCTGTCGAATTGGATGCTTGACGGCCGCCTATAAATGACAATCTCGGCACGGTTATTCACTGACGTTGAAAGTGAATGCACCGGTCGCGGTTTGTACGTGGGAGTTGGTGTTATTTGGGTCGCATCGACTGCTCTCTCTTTCTTTCCTTTCCTTCCTGCTCCGCCACCATATAGACAGACGTAGTATATTGCTCTCACAATCCGCTCTTCCTTTTTCTATTTACCATCCTTTTGTTCCTCCTCGTTAAATGTTGGTGCGTACATTTGTCGTTTGAAATAAACATGCGATTAGAAAAGAAAACACGTTAACACGGAAATAGAGATGAAATTATTATTTAAATATTGCCCCCCTTAAATATTGTTGAAAAGCATCCAACTACATCCGTCCAACTAATTGCTATTGATGTCAAGATACCGAAAGAAAAGTATCGGCATTTTTTGTCAAATATCGACGGCCATCTCTCTGGTTCGCTAGTTTATTCGTGCGGTAAGGTATTGAATCGTCGTCGTTGTCGCCCGTAGTGAATGAATTCGTTATCTGAGAAAACGGTCGCGACTCTGGCGATGCTGTCAACTGTACCGCGTATAGGGTCAGTCGCGTCACGAGGCACGAAACGCAAGGGTAGAGAAACAGGCCGAGCGCTGCGGAATTGCGCTACGCGTGTAGAGATACGCTTTCGGTAATTTCTCGTACGTAACCAGCGGTCACGCAGTTGATAATCACATATTTGAAATTCTGATGGCACGGCTTCGTTAACATGTAAAGTAGTGGATATCGTAAGGAAATATTGTCCAAATTTTAACTTTTTTTTTTTTACACTATTTTGTCGTTGATATTAATCTTATCATCTTTGTTTCACGGTTCAACTATTTACTTTTTATTGACCCACATTTTTGACGCTCCAGTAATCTACTTTTGTTTCAAACACTGACATTTTACCGCGACATTTACCATTTTCAGTAGAATAAAAAGATGGAAAAACTATTTTGTGACGTGAAAACGTATTAATTTTAAAAGTTACGTTAGAGAAACCGTAGAGCTCTGGTTCGCCGTTAGAGAGAGCAATCTTATTCGGCAAGCTTATCAAGATCTCTCGCGAGATTACGACTGTTCGCGTTTGTACACGCACGAGATCGCTGCGTTAACCGTACGCAGTCCCCGGTCCCCGGCGAGAGCGTGCGATTCAATGTCGCCCGAAGCAGTCAACAAAACAATGTGTAATCGCTAAAAATACTCTCTTCCTTTCCGCTCAGCCGTCGTCGTCATCCTCCTCCTCCTCCGTACCGTCCGTTCATGACTTTTCGTCTTTCTTCTTTCTCGCCTCTCCCCGCGCTTTCGCTAACAAGCGAATACGAGCCGTACAGCTGATTACGACAAGCAACAATGCGTCCGAAAGCTACGTAAAAATAACTTCTCGTCCGCACAAATAACATTTTGTTTGAAATTTTCTTTTGGTGATTTGGCATTGCTCAAAATGATCCTTACGAGTTATGTTTCAAAGGTATCTAAAATTTCAATCTTGAAAGAATTTAGAGGGGAAAATGGGATTATCTCTTTGCGTTTATACAAAGAGATTTGAAGAATTTCACATATTTCTTGTTGTTCTGTTTTTAAGCTTGGTTAATAATTCTGTCGGATAGATGATTGCACAGTTGCAGGTAATTGTGGCCTTTCTCTTTCACACGCGTCATATTTTACATGTCCCACTAATAACATATGACCATCATTAATGATTCTTTCAAGTGTCGGTTGTCGATAATGCAAAGTTTATTTTTTTGTAAACCAAATCCGCAGACAGTCGTCGTATGACGACAATTGTTAACGTCATCTACGATGACGCTAACATAAAATGGCATTGAATCGCAAACGTGTAGGTAGATTTGACGTTATCGCGCGATTCATTCGCGTCATGAAAGTATGTACCTTGTAGATAAGGGGAATTATTCGTGGTTTGCGCCGACCACCAACTCCACGGAGTTGGAGTATCTCCCTTGTACTGATTCGCAAAATACTCTCTAGCATTTAATTGCTAAACTCGAAGAGATGCAGGATCAAAATTAGACGTACCCTCGTAGCTTTGCTACGTACCAAAATCGATAACATTGTTATAGTTGACGAAAGAGCTAATTGTATGAAAAGCTATTTCTGTTAATTCTATAAACAGATTATTCGTTTAGCGACTTAAATTTTGGGTAAGGCATGTCATCAACCGCTATTATATAATTATTTATGTCGTGTGCACTGCTCGTGCATTACTCGGGTGGTCTCAAGCGTGCTCCATCTAAAGCTGCAGTCACAGTGAAAATATTGCCGTTTCACTCGTGCTTGCAATTGACAACATACTATCTGAGATAACTGATACAGACGGTATATTAAGGAGCCTTAATTCCATTTTATTTTATTCGACAGCAATGCGTCTCGTTTTTATTTACTCCGAGAGGCAGAGAGGAACAAAGCGAGGATTAATCTGAGTTTTTCTGCTGGTCATCTTCCAGTCATCCAATAGTAATTCAATCGAGTTGCTCCGTTCGTACGTGAGAGGTTTCTTGAATCACCGAAATACGTGGAAGCACCATTCACCTATTTATCACTAGAATGCGCAATCTTGCGACATTATGTCACGCATAGATCGACTCATTCTTCGTAACGTTACTATACGCGAGATATTCCTACTTTCAGGTTCGGTGTAACTGAGATTGCGAGTCACTCGAGCGGGATTTTGAGAAAATTTCTGAGTCACTGGTGTAGTGAGTAACTACAAAACCAGTTTTTAAGGCCGTAAGGAATTATCTTCTCCATTCACGACGATCTCGTCAACGAATTCTTGCCAATTCCATTTTTTGCTCCCTCAGCTCATGCCAAAACTATGAAAATATTTCGGGGAAAAATGGATGACGTCGCCAAGTAAAAATAATTCATTCGACCGACTTGATCTCTGATCACCAATTTCTAATTACCAATTGTTCCGATAACGTTTTCTGAAAAATACGCAGCGAACGTTCCGAGGAATAGGGGGGAAAAAATGGACGGCGGGATTACCAGGGAAAATAAAATTGCGCTATTGAGCAAAGTTGAAGAAATTTTTTATTTAATCAGCGCAGACACGTCGCGTCGTGACAACATCGTATACGCAGGTCGTCGTGACGCAAATGTCGATGTGCATTAGACGGAAAAACAAACGCGAGATAAAATGCAGCAGCGAACCTTTAACCAGGGAGTAACATTAGATATTTATTTAGGCCTTCTTGTCAAATAAAACTATTATTTACTGGAGCTAAATGGCGATCACTTTGGTGCACCGTAGCTCCGAAATTTTTCATTTCGTTAATAACTCGTGAATCAAACGTTTATGTACGCTTGATCAATATTTAATAAATAAATATACATTGAATCATTTCTGAAAAAGGAAATGTTGTTCGTCCAGTTGTATCAATCGGTCGCGTTTCACCTTTATTTCTCGATGCGCCCGTCGCAAAGAGCTAAACTGCAAATCCTGAATTGCGTCGATGAGGTTCGTTAAAAAGTCAAATTATCGAGAATCGCTCCAGTCGCCACGACGACGCGTGACGTCTGTCGACGCGAGCGGGCCGCGACGGGTCTACGTCACGCGTCACGTTACCTACCTACGTAGAAGCCACGAGTACCGAGGTCGTTCATCGAGAACAATAATAACTAGCGGCATCGACGAGGAAACGAATTTCTGCGCGGTCGTCCGGACGTCATCGCGAAACGTCGTCGAGCATCGGGGATTTCACGGGGCTGAACGCCTACACGCCTGCTCGGTTAGCCGTTTTAATCGTAAACTTGGCACGAAGGCAATTCTTTACGAATGTCTTCTATAAGAAAATCTACTCGGGGGAAACTTGGCTGATGTTAATAAAAGAATTTTCAATCGTACGAATGGGGACCAAGGGATTTTTTTAATAATGCACAATATCCCAGAGAAACATGACTTTATTAATATTACAAAACAGAACGTTTGATATATCATCACTTAGTAATGACGCGAGTTGTACGAATAGAGAAAAGCCCTAGTATCCTAATAGTGGGCTTTCTGTTCAATTAATATCGTCAGTTGACGTGAATTTATTGCCCTTGTAGCGAAATCTGTTGAATGGAAAATTCATTGTCGGATCGTGTAACCGTTGCGAAGAATTTCTCATTGAATTTCGGTGTTGAAATGCCGCTGTCTCATATTATGGACCTATCTCATAATAAAAAGGTGCGAATTTATATTAAAAATTGCATGCAAAACACATTTAATCCATGTCATAGAAAAGAAATGTAGAGCGTAGATCTGAAAAAGTGTCGATACTTTTTATTTAACGTCGGTAGCTAGCCCTAATTGAAAGGCTTCGGCGAGGTGAAAAGAGTTGAACGTTTCGCTCTAATCGAATCGATTCTCGCAAACGGTAACTGCCGCGTGTTCGCGATGTCGCCGGCCACGTGACCGCATATAGGCCATCGAAACATTCAAGGTCTCTCATCGGCAATAACCCGCGATAATTCTGAGTAACAAAACGATCGGAACTTGCAATAATGAAACTAGTAACTTTGACGCGCTCAATTTTTCAGTTACGTTAATTACCGGCAGTTTTGTCGCCGCCTTTGCAATCCCGAGGATGAATATTGGAAGGAATTTTCGAACGCGGGAGACGAGTTGTTGCTTCTTGAAAGGGGAGCAATTGACAGCTCCGGGAAGGAAGTGCGCAAGTTGATGAAAGCGTTCCGAGTTTTCGAGCGTACAGTAGTTTCGCGATATATTAAAGATTCAGGATGTATCCCTTTTATTCGCCCGGCTCTATAAAGACGCGATTGTAACCGTCCGCGCGCGCAATTCAACCTTCTCCGATCGCCGCATTCCTCGAAATGTTTTGGCCGATGAAAAATTTGGCGCGAAAAGCCCTTTTCACTCGCGCGAAACTCGTATTACGCCGTACTCGCTCTCCACCCTACCCGCGGCAGTTCGCAGACACGCACGAGCGTCGGTTACGTGTGCACCACGGCCGCTTTTATCGCGGCGCGCATACGCGCGCGCACGCATGTGCGTACGCACTCACACGTGCGTGTCGCGTCTCGGCCCCGGTACAGCGCCACCCCGAATACCGGATGTGACGACACTCGCGCACTTGGCCCGACGCACTCTCGAGATGTCTCCCCTGTCCCCTTCGTTCCCCCTTTTTCGCGTTTCTCGCTCGGTCGGAGCGGCGCGCTCCGAGAACGCACTTTCTCTCTCTCTCTCTCTCTTGGTTCCCTTCAGCGGCCCACCGTCGTCGACCCGTTATTTACTCTCGTAGTTCTGGCGATGGCCAGCCGCGGCGTTCCCGGCACGCTTGCGTCGCATCTCCTCGGCGCGGCGCGGAACGGAGCGGCATGGCGCGGCACAGTCCCACGCGGCTTCTCGCGCGTGTCCACTACTATACTCGTCGCCGTCTTACGTACGTACGCAACGCCGTCTTTTTCTTTCCTCCGACGTTCCTCGCGTTTATCTCGCGCTAGTTGACGACGTGGTTCCGCGAACGCAATGACAATGCAACAACAGCGAACGACGATGAGGATGACGATGGGTGTCGAGTCGTTGCCCGTGCTGAGGATAGGTGATGTACGCACGCGGCGGGATAGAGAAAGAGAGAGAGAGAAATACATACTCGCGCGCGGCCATTTTAACCGCGCGGTGCGCTAAGCCGGGCCACCCAGTGTGCAATACGAGAGAGACCGCGACGGCAGTGTGTGTGTGTGTGTGCGCGCGTGTGCATGTGTGTGCCAGCGCCGCCGTCGTCTTCGTCATCGTCATCGTCATCCTCGCCGTCGTCGTCGTTCCTGCTGCCGTTCTCTCGTCGACATCGAATTGCGTCTGTCGGCTGCGCGCCTCGCTTCTGCGCACGCGAATCCGCGCCGCGTATATCGCGCATTAGCCGCACGTCTCTTGGCCGATCGCGCGACATGGATCGAACCTCGCCGTTTTCCTCGCCGGGAACGAGCAGCCACGTCCCGGGTGTTACCGCGGATCTCGCGATGTGATGCATCGTCGTGACGTGCGCGCGCGGGACGGGGGAGGACACGTGCCCCGCGCGAGCGCGAAAAAAGCATGCGGAGTGACGCGCGGTGACGCGCGATGACTGGACTCGCGAGAGCGAACGGGTGGATCGCCGTCGTCCAGCGGAGGACACCGGAAAGCGCGAGAGGTGAGCGGAAAGGATCCGAATGCGATTAACGGAGAAGAAAGAGAGAGAGCGATCCGCGCGACGAAGGAGCGCGGAAGCGAACGACCGCGGACTGCAAAGTTTTCCGCGCGACGTAGAGAGCAGCCGCGTGACACGGAATCTGCGCAGTAGGTACGCCGCGGATTCGCAAGCGCCGACGTTGTCGGCGGCGCCGCTCTCTCTTTCCCTCTCTTTCTCCGTCCGTCCCTCGCGGTTGCAGCCAGAAGAGCGTCGTCGACGAGGAGAGAAACTCTCTTGCGCAGCCCGAAACAACGGCGAACTCGAGCGTGATCGCGGCTCCTACGTTTAAGATGCGTTCTCCGGTAAATTTTTCGAGCAAAGGAGCGCGCGAGTGGAGCTGGAGAGAATCGAGAGTGAAAACGGAACAGAGGTTCCTTCTGTAAATGTTTAAGCAACTTGTTTTATGGAAACATTTTTAAGGGTCTCTTCTTCGGGACAAATGAAATTATGTCTACTGAATTTTTTTCTCTTTTAACCGATTCGATCGACTGTAACCCGATTATGTTCCAAGTAAAACGGAGTTGGACTCCTTTCCCCTTTCAAAGACCGGAGTCTGCGAGGAAAGCGGAAAAGTATCGCGGGCAAGGATAATCGATTTCAAAGTCCTAGTATTCTCGTTTAATCGTATATCGCCGTTGCGATAATTGGATAAAATTTTCACCAACTCGCGGGCGCGATGAAAAATTTATTCGACACGTAAAGCGCGACAGCGTTAAATACGTCTGACCTCTGATATTTCGCGTTAAAAATTTAATCCGTGCTCCGGCAACGAGGAGAGAGAGAGAGTACATTTATGTGAAAGTCTGCTCTAATTGCTCGTAAAATCGAATGTTATCCGTTTTTTTCCCCCTCCGTTGCCTCCGCGGAATACGTAATCCGCTTTTTCGCCCCTGAGACTTTTTCATCCGGCATTATCTCGATTAACTCCTCCATATCCGACGACGGGACCGACACCTTGATTCCGCGATATATCTTAAACTCCTCCAAGCGCTTCTGCGCGGACCACGTCAAGGTGCGTACCCTCCGCCCTCTCTTTTCGCACGCGCCCACGGAGCCCCTAGCTACTTGGAGTGACGTGGGCGACGCTTACGTAATTCCCGACCGATAAGGTGGATAATGATAAGCATCGTCGTCGTCGTCGTCGTCGTCGTCGTCGCAGTTCCAGTCCTTGTCTCCGTCTCCATCTCTGTCTCCGTCTTGGCCGCCGCCGTCGTCGTCGTCTTCGTCTTTGACGAAGCGGTGCGAGCCGGCGGCGCCTCTCTATTTTCGAACGTGCGAGTCACACACTTGACTGTCGTCCACCGCCGCGACGCGACGCGTCGCGTCCGAAAATGCCACCGGACCGATAAAAATGTCACGAGGTAACGAGTCAGCCGACCACGCGGTCGAACGCGCGTCTCGATCAGCCGTGAAAACAGGGAGGCCGCCGTTGTTCCCGCGACATTCGCTAATAAATCTGCTCCGTTTAACCGGACGACAAACGATGCGCGAATGTTTCGCGAGAGTATCTAGAAGACGTTCTAAATCTTCGAAATCGTCCCTTGTACGCTGCTACACACTGGGCCTTTGTATTGTATTACGAACGACACGCTCTCTTTATTCTCTCTTCTTTCAAGTGTACACGCACTCCTTTTTCACGACACATAAAATTCGCAAAGAACGTTCCATCATTCGAATTAAGTGGCCAATTATTTGGAGACACTTTGTTTAGATGTCGCAGAAAGCTCGAGGATTAGAAACCATTTACTCACGTCGTCGAGTCTAAATTCTATCGAAACAAAATCCACATGAAATCACGTGACCTAATTAGTGCGGAAAATATATTAATTTTTGAAAAGAGCCATGGCCGAAACGTTGGGTGAATCAAGCAAGTTTCCTGTTGCCAGTCGGATTATTCAACCTATATATTAATTTTTCTTTGAAAATTGTCAATGCTACATGTCTGCTGCTACCCAGAGAAAAGTTTCTTTCATCTTGCTAGACTTTTATTTGATTTCAAAGAAATGATTTCTTTCCCTTAACCAAAATTTCACTTGCCCGAGACTGGAATCTAAGAGAATTCACATCTATTTCTTCGAATCTAGCAAACGTGTTGGTAGAAGTAAATAAAAATCTAGTAGACTCAAAGAAACTGTCTCCAATCCATGTAACTTTTCGCGAGGCAGCTGGAGACTTTACAACAGTTTGCACAGCTGCAGTAAATCAATTAGTACCCGTACGCTTATCCATATTAATTTTCAATAATATAACTGTCTTATTAGAAACGCGTCACATCGTGTGCTAGATTTCGAGCCGCTGTGAAGAAAACCGATACGATAATTGAGCGAAATGACGAAACGGTTGTGAACCGGTTGGGACGAACGTAATTCGAACTGGGCAGGGTTAGGGAACGCGAACAAGTGTAGAGTTAAATAGAAACGGCCCTCTCTCTCTCTCTCTCGGTATTCGTAGTATTCGAAAATCGTCGTCGTCGACGTTCGCCAAAGTGAAGCGACGTGACGGCGGGGCGGATAAGCGAGAGTTCCTCTCCGCGAGCCGATGACCTCCGTCGTTCCCAAGGACGCGATTCCTGGAAGGTAAGGTCGCGTTTGCGAAATAACGGAGTTCTCCTTGGCGAGCGGGCCTGGCACCGTCGATCTCTATCCCTCTTTCTCCGTCTATGTCTCTCTATCGCCCCCGCCACTCATCCCGAAATCCGCGAGGCGCTTCGCAACGTTTGCGGAGAGGAGAAGGTCAGGACACGAGAGATGGTTACGTTGCCGGCGCATGAAACTTTCATTCGCGCGTCCGTCGCGTTTGCATTTGATTTTTATCCCGCAAGTGTAATCGACGTTGTTCTATAAGTTTTGCAGGG